CTCAAACCGTGCATTATACTCTGGCTCTATTCAGCTGTTATCGAACCAATTCTTCTGTATGGGGCTGCTTTCTGGTGGCAGGCAACTGAAAAAGCATGCCACACCAAATTAATTGACAAAACTAGGAGGATAGCCGCACTACAAATCACTGGTGCTCTTCGCTCTACCCCCACGCAAGCTCTTTTCGCTATGCTTCATTGGTTGCCATCTCGGCTTCTGGTAAAACAGCAAGCCAAAATAGTTGCAACTAGGCTCAACGCCCTCTCCTGCTGGTCAAGAACTGATATAGGCCACGCGATCATACTGAATCAGGATCTGCCAACTCCAGTCTCTATTGACTACATGTGTTGTTACCCAGACCTAATTAGGGGGTTCGAATCTCTTATACCTAGCAGGGAGGACTGGATCCTTGAAAGAGCGATCCCTCTCCAAACGGTTGACATTTACACGGACGGCTCCAAAATAGATAAACGAGTCGGCTGTGGCATTTTCTCTGAAAGACTGGGTCTCAGCATCTCGCTTCGACTTCCGAACCACTGTAGCGTCTTTCAAGCCGAAATAATGGCAATTCACCAAGCTGTAAAATGGGTTCTATGCAATCGAACATCCGATTTACCAATCTCAATTTTTTCTGATAGCCAAGCTGCCATCAGATCACTGATTGGCACCTCAGCCACATCAATCACAAATCAAGACTGCCGTGCTTCACTAAATGACCTAGCTAGGTTTGTTAGGGTCAAACTTATTTGGGTTCCTGGTCACAGGGATATCACAGGAAATTGTAGGGCAGACGATCTAGCCAAGGCAGGTGCTCTTCTCCCTAACATTAACCTCTCTGATATAGGCGTCCCTCTTGCTACAGCTAAACTGGCAATCATACAAAAATACCTGAGTATAGCCAAGCAATACTGGGCTGACGAACCTCAATGTCAGATTTCTAGGTTGACTTGGCCGAACTTTGACAAGAAAAGAACCCGTCAGCTACTTCAACTAAGACGGAACCTGCTCAGCACTACGGTATCTGTGCTGACGGGACACTGCGTAATAGGAAGGCATGCTACGAGACTGGGTCTCCCCTTTAATGACTTTTGTAGAGGCTGTGGCTCTGAGGATGAGGAGGAGACTGTACTCCATCTCATGTGTCAGTGCCCTTCCCTAGCCAGAAGAAGATTAAAAATCCTTGGATCTCCTTTTCTAACTGACCTGACTGAGTTGTCATCCTGTAATGTTAGGGACCTAGCCAAGTTCATAGAACTGTCAGGTTGGTTTTCCTTTGCATAATGGGGGAGTCGTTACCTTTCTTTCGGCGTTAAATGTATACTGATTAAATCTATATACAAATAACGTAACTCCTGTGGTACCACAACGGGCCTTTATTTGTGCTTAAGTGGGCTTTTTGGGACACAAGGCCGCCACTCCAACCTATACCTATACCTAAGTGATATGTTGAACCGAGAGAGTAGCTGCAATTTTCAGTAATAGAAAACATGGTATGAAAATTGCGAATTTTGATAAAAATATTGTTTCTGTATTTTTTTATTTTACATATAAACATTTCTTATTGGCGAAATGTCTATGTTTTATATATGAGAACCATAGGCGGCGCATACCTTAATCGAAACAGTTTCCAAATCATCTATAGTAATGTTTATACATAGGTGGCTCAAATCAAAAATCCATTTATCTTAGGATAACCTATATAATAATGCTAGAAGGAGATGTTAAAATTGTTCTCGATCCTCAACAAGGAGGAGGTTATATTCTTGTCTGAATAACTTCAATTGGTATCGGCGAAATTTTTTTCTAATATATATGAATTAGAACATGCTTTAAGAATAAGTGCTAATAAATTGTCGCGGACGGCATGTTGGCATGTAAAACAACTATGCTCTTGTGCGGTATGTAATGCAATCACATTTTTATGTCGTTTTTTTAGTTATTTTTTGGTCTTTTCTTGAATCTTGGTGGCCTATTTCGATCTTTCTCTAACTCTTATCTGCTAAACTTAGCCAAATGGTTCAACAAACTTTACATCAAATCACGATAGGAACGTGTCTGATGGATAATAATAATATATCTGAGGATAATAAGTTAGGTTAGGTTACAACGGCGATGCCAAGGGTTTTCACTTAGACCTTAATTAAAAACTCAGAGGTTGGAACCACTTAACACTTTTGACAAAGCTTATAATATTAAAGGAGAGGTCTTCCAGTTCAGCAAGATCCTCAAAAACGGAAGGCCCTAAAGTAATAAGGCGGCGGCGCATATGTGCTGGATGGAAGCAAAATAGATAGGAGGTACTTTCAACGTTCTCTTCACAACAGCGACAGATATGATTGAAAAGGAGATTTAATCTTTTAGCATGATTACCTAACACGCAGTGAATTGTTAGTAAATCTACTGTAAGACTAATAAGTCTACAGGGCATCTTAGAAAGAGAGAGTAGGATTTCCTTTTATTGGAGAATAATAAAGTTTGACCTTATGACTACGAACAAAATGTGGTGTATATATTCTAATTAGTATTACTTGCAATAGATCTTAAATTGTCAGACAACAAATAATATAAATAATAAACAATCTTTAAAAATGTAATACTAATTCATTCATCCAGGTTCTCTTAACGACGTATCATTATTTGAATGTTTAAGGAACAACAGCTTAACTCTTTCAGTGTGAATAGATACATAATCCTTATGATTAATACCTAAATACTAACCTACTATTTACTACTGTTGATGAAATATAATGTTGAAACTCTTGATTCATTTATATTTACAGAAATATTAACCCTTGATTCATATATCTTCCCTTTCGAGTATAAACTTCTACATCATTTACTCATTTATTCAAAGTAATTGCTATAGTTTTTTAAAACTAAAATCACTCTTAATAGTTACTATACCACGAAATCGAATAATTTATTCTTACTTATCAATTTTAGATATATTTGTAAATCGAACTTACCCGTTAATTTTGCGACTCCTTTAAAATTAATGTCATCGATGATTGTGGGTTCGGAACGTCCTTTTGCATTGACGGCAAAAATAATCATCCGGTATGTAGCAGTTGCATCCAAATTTTCTATAGTAAAAGTGACTGGGGCGCGCTGAAATTAAATTTCGTAACAAAAACCATTTAATGATTGTCTAATTTTAAAAATTGAAACTTAAGAAATTCTTTACATATTCCTCAAGGCAAACGAAACTCAAAAGTTTCGGAACTAAGTCATTGCTGAAAGTTTCAATTTTAGCATACAAAATGCAAAATTTAATAAAATAAAATTTCTGAAATATTTAAAGACGTTGACTTGCTGCATAATTGTGATTAAATTTTCTAGTTTCATATCTTCAAGAATTCAGCACAGATTAAAATTTCTAATAAAAATATGGAAAGATGAATCGTAACATCGATTTTTCGTTTTTATTGTTGTATGTGTTATATGTGGAAAATGCAGAAACTTTGGCCAATTTCAATGAAACTTTCTCGCATGAAAAGTTTTTTAGAAAAATAATAAAAATGAAAATATTAAGAAATGAATAAGAGGAGACAAGAAAAGAAAAAGACAAATCAGAAAAAAAAAAAAAATAAATAAAAGAAAATTATAAAAGAACACTTACAAGAATTTGTTGAGAACTAAACTTTAAGCAATGAAAATGAAGCAGTACTAGAATTCCAAAATAGTTGAAGGAGAAACAACTTTGCTCAAAACTGCTGTTGAGGTTCTACATATAAAATAAGTGCTGCATACATGCATGTGTGTGCTGTATGTGCAGCATTTTGCTATTCAAGCAGTTAGACAAGCAAGCAGGCAAGCGAGCAGGCAGGCATGGAGTCAGGCATGGAGTCAGGCAAAAAGTTAAAAACATTCTGTGAAGATTTTTAATCTATTTTGTTTTAGTTGAAATTTAAAATGCTATTAAGTTTGTAGTGGTACGCGGGCTGACTGCATATGCATAAGAAGCAAAATTCATAATAAAAATAATGCTCCTCGGTGCCCGGTGCAGTAAGCAAGGCGAGTAGCTGCTCCAAATGGGGTTACCAATATTGACGACAAAACTTTCCTGCACAAGTGTGTCGTGTTATGTTAGTCAGGAAAGGTGTCACATATTCCCGGTAAGGCTTCTTTTTACCTCTTAGAGTCAGAGTTTCGAGTTTCGAGTTTCATTTTAGCTGTTGTCATGTGTTACGATATTTTTATGCACTTTTAAAAACATATCATGTCACCATATCACCAGAGATTTGCTATACGAGCTTTTAGTTAATTTTGTCTTATACTTTTACAGGAATTTACTAGTTTCATAAAAGGGTACGTGTGCATGTCTGTGCATGCAAAATTAGTGTAAAAATGCACAATTTACATTTACTGCAGATATTTATGCTGAAATAACTTATTATGTCCTGAATTAGAATGTGTGCTCCCAAGTTTTTCAGCTGTTTGGAATTTATTAAATGGATTCTGGTTTATGAAATTAAATAAAATGTATTTCATAAATATTAATAAATAAATTTTTTATAAAATAAGGAATAATCTTAGAAAAATTGTAAGAGTTATTTATAATATCTTAATACTTTAGAGAACATAAGTGTTTTAGTTTCCATAATTAACAACATCGTTGTTAAATAATAACAAACAATATATGTAAGTACATGAAAAAAAATCGGATATATGGATTCAGAGTTTCAAAGATATCGTCAATTGAACTTAGGAGACTTTGCCAGCGACTGTTTTATGAATATATAAATACTCAAATATAGATAGAAATAAATAACTATAACCGTCAGAATGTCAGATTTCCTTTAATGAATTGTTTAGGCTTTTCAATGTATAACTCATCTAGTTACTTGAACACAGAGTTATATCAGATAACAGTAAAGCAGATGAACTTGTTAAACTTGGCACACTGCTTTCTGAATTTTACTTTCTCGAAATTGTTATATCTATTGCATCGACAATTACATGTACCAACCTGAGGTGGGCAATGAAAGCTTGAATAAAAGAAGATTCAGGTGAGACTAGGTGAGATTGTCACATTTCAAAACTCTGCGAGTCTAAATTTTTTAATTTTTAATTATCTATTCAGTGCTGGCCACTATGTATAAGAAAAGGATGTAATAAGATTTGGTCTATCTCTTACGACTTTTTTCGGGGTTGCGGCATTCCTTGTGACAAGTAAATTATAATCCAACTAATGAGTCAGTATCAATCGTTGATATGAATCGATTCAAAATTCTGACATAGCTAATAATCTTTCAAGTTAGAGACACAGTCAAGTTCATAGACTTGTCAGATTGGTTCCCTTTTTGCTGACTTCAAGAGCTGTGAGGTCGCAAACGAATCTAGTTTGTCCATGTGTTCATCCAGATATTGAATTGCTTCCTTTGGTGTTCTTTTAGATTGACCGTACGTATGGGAGCTTATTCCATACGTGGTATCACCAGTAATTTATATTTATAAGCCCAAATGAATTTTGCTGTATAAAATAGTCCCTGGAACATAAACTAATTCCACATGATATACTTATTTCAGTTATGCATCACAAAATATCAACTATAAGATGATTATTGTCATACTTGACTTCAGTTTTTTTGTTTATTGGGTGATATTAAAACTATTCGTCGTTTTTTGTCACATTTTTGAACAACCTTCTGTACTTAAATTTAATTTTAATAAAGTTCATGTTGGCTTTTATTATTTTTGATCTTTTGCGATAAAGCAGAGCCAAATTTTGGGTTATAATATGTCCATAAAAGGTGTCAGTTTCTACTATGGCAAAAATACTGACTTTGCCGTTTTATGGTTCTAGCTAAAGCTCTATTTAAATACAATTACTCTTCTGTGTCTCTACAGTATGTATTACATTTATTCGAGTTTTGTTGCTCACTAAATTGGAAACGATTGGAAATACCTATTCAGTATTAAAATTTCTGAACTTTATCGAGCAGGAAGATATGTGACTCAAATAAGATTTTATATTCTTCCAAAAATTACATTCCTTTCGCTCTATGTAGGAATATCGGTATAGGGAGGTGCAAAATATAACTATATAAAAAATTTTAAAAATTACTTTAAATATTTTTAAAACTAGTATTTCAAAATATTTGTAATCATAAGATTTTCGTAAAAAATTTAAATAGAAAAACTCAAAACAAATAAAATAGTAAATCAAATTTAATGGATGTTTTGTTTTTAATGAAATCCAAAAAACTTTTCGTAAGCAATCAAATTACAAATTTACCAAAACTTTTCTAATTATATGAATTGATACGGTCTACTCAATATGGAGTAGAATATTTATTTTCCTTTACATGTAGATTTCGATATTTCTCTACATTGCAGCATAAAAGGACTAAGGACTATTTTCAAAATACAAGACAAAATTGAGTATAAATTAAAATAATTTTGTTTGCCTTTAAGCGATTAAATTAAAAGGGTAAAAAGTTTGTAGACTACAGAGCATGTCATAGACATCAAAAGTGAAATACTTACAGCCAAACTTAGATTCCTTGCCAAACGTAGATTGGTAAGTTCCACCAATTCCAATATGAAACCTTGGGGCAAGCCACCATCAAATCCTTCGAGGCATTCAACTTGTAATGCATCAGATGTATGGTTAGTAACCGTGCAGTTCTGCAAGGGCAGTGGACGGCCTAACGGGAATATATAGAGAATTGAATAAAAATTAATTTTTATGCATAATGTATGTGGGTATGTGTTCGAAAAAATAGAGAATAATGAAAGAAATATTTCTTCCATAATTTTATTATATTTGTATTGTAACAGTAAAATATTATGTATTTAATTGTCACAAAAGCTGAAAGGAAATATTTCTTTATTATTGAGATAATATTGCAAAATTGAACAGATCCTTTTGTTGGTACAGCTGTATAATTCTTGTGAATATTTTCTTTATACATTCACGACATTCCTGGAATAAGTTAATTTCATCTTTCATTGTCACGACAATGCCTTTATCTGTCAATTGGTATTATCAACAAAGGATACTTTAGCGATTTACTTACCTGCAGCTACAATTTGAAATATGCAAGGACTTTTTTGCGTGCCAATTGAATTTCTGCCCCAACAGGAAATTGTGCCATAATCCAGATCATTGCTTGGCGTATAATTCAAACGTGACATGCCTCTCTGTAAAATAAACGAAAAATATAAGATATATTTTCATAAATGAATTGTATAAAATTACAAAAAGGAAATAAATAAAATGAAATAATATGCATACATTTAAGTAAAGCAAATAAATAAATGACATCAAAGTGTACAGTGAGGAGAAAATTCCTACTGAAAGTAGCGTATAGCAGTATCCGTAAATATTGATATTGATTCTGCATCTTAAATTAAATTGAAACAAAACGATGAATGCACAGAAATGCATGCATTTCAACAAATATTTAGTCGCATTTAAAGCACAATAAGTCCTGCAGATGAGTATCCCTATTGTAAGTCCTTCGCCATGAAAGGTGCAAGTATTTATTAAACTTTACTTTTGAATTTATTATTTTCTTTATCTTCTGTTCTTATTCATGACAAATTTTTTATTGCATTTATTTGTGCAAAAATATTTTTGATTTCTTTCATATTTATTTATTTGCTTTCAACCATTTTCATTTGCTTTTCCTTCACTACGAATCTATATAGTCCTTGGGTTTTCTGCGAGCTTTGTAAGGGAACGACTGTATTTTGCTATTTTCATTTTAATGCAAATTTAATGTTGATGGCATTTTCGACACCGCCGAAAATTATGCTACAGGGACTTTGTTTTGCTGCTGATAAAGTGATGAAAGCAAAAATGTCGATACATCTCGAGGGGAATTAGTGACAAAATTTGTTCAAAGATAATATAAATATTTTTGTTTATATACAAAATTCTTAAAATGGCTGCAGAAGTACGCAAATTTGTTGTTTGGTTTGGGAATGTAGTGGGTATTTGTATAATTTGCTCATTTGTCTTTCCTTTTTGGTGTGGAATTGTTTTTAAAGTTTGATTGCTTTGAGACCCAAGCACAAAAGGTGGCTCATAAAATGGAAAACATTTGACTTTGTTTTTAAGGAGTTAATTGGAAGATATGATTTGGAAGTTTTTTCTGTGCCCTAAATATATTTTGCATCTATAAATAAATAGTTAAAAATAATTGAAATGTTATGTATTTATTTTAATTTGGTTTTTATTTAATGTAATGTTTGGTTTATACAACGAAACGGTAATGGATTCGAGTTAATTATAAAAATACAAAATATATATAATTTAGAGTGAAAAGTTACCAGTCATACTAAGTAAATCAAGCTTTTCATACTTTTAGGTATGGATCGCCCAGGAGATGAAAGTTACCAGCTATATGGATAAGTGTTTTCCGGTTTAGTCAATAGTCCGTGCTAGCACATAGTACGCATATTGTTATTTAATGGACAGACATTTGACTGACATGTACGTTATTTTGTTCATCTGACATTAAAATTCAAGTGCACATAAGTTGAGTCTGCCAAAAACTAGCGTGTTTGTTTTATCGATCACTGATCAAGTCGAATTTTGTGACTGAAAGAGTATATTTGCGGTAAGCATTGCTTTTCTTATTTAATCAAAATATAGTTGGATGGCAGTATGTGCTAGAAATATATGGTGCACACGTTCCATCGATTATAACATTTGAGATATAGTTTCGACGATTTCATGTGGTGATTTCTATATGAAAATCAATTAGTGCCTTATTAAAATATTGAGCAACTGCAGGAGTTATTTGATGATGATCCAACTTAAACTTAATAGCTATTGACCAAAGTATTAAGTGTGTCACAAGAGACAATCAGCAGACGTTTACGAACAATCGAAAAATTCAATTAATTAGATATATGGCTCCCAGACGGTTTGAATCAATTGCAAAGTCACTTCTGAAATACTCCTTTAATGTCACGAAATAAAATCATTTTTGTATTGAATTGAGATGGGTGATGAAAATTGGTTTTATATTGAAAACGCGAAGCGGAAAAAATCATAGCTTGCACCTGGTTAAGCCAGTCCATAAACGCCAAACCCGAATAGTTTTGGTAAAAATATTATGCTTTGTGTTTGGTGCAACAAAATGATATTGTTTATTATGATCTCTTGATGCACAGACAAACCATTAATGAACTTCGATATTGCTAACAAATGATGAATTAAATTCACCCATTGTTCGAAAGACGATCAGAATGGACCAAAAGACATGTTAAAGTGATTTTGCTAGACGTAAATGTGCAGTCTCACACTATAAAAGTAATGAAAGACATTTTGAGAGGACACTTGGAGGGGACACTGACCTGGCGGCATCTGAGTAACACGAGGAAGCTGGAAAATGGGTTCAACGAATGGCTTGGCTGCTCTACAAGCACTTTTTCTGGTACGGTATTCGTAAATTTCCGGAAATATGTGTTAAATGTATAGAAGCTGATGGCCACTATCATGAATTAAAAATAAATTATTTTCTCTTGAAAACTACGTGATTTCTTTACCAAAACAGAAAAAAGGAAAAATGAATACAGCTAGTAGATTAGGTTGGAGTGAGAGAAATGTACACCCAAGTCCACATGAATAGAAATGATTACTTTGTAAAATAAAAGGTAAGATTATTTTATCCATAACTTTTAACAAAAGACCTACCATTGCATACTTTTAGGTTTGGCAGGATCGCTTGCGAGGCAGCTATTAGTTTACTCTGATATTGATTGCTGACTAACATTCTAGCACTTAAAGCTATTATACCAAATAAAAATTTTTTAAATGAGCACAATTTTGCAAATTCTAACTCACATGAAGATCAATTAGAATACTTATGTATAAAAGTATGGTCTTTTGTATAATAATAACTGCAAATTAAGAGGAGAATATATGTAAGTCAATATTAAATACGTGTCAATATACTTATTAAGTATCACGTAATAGTTTTTTCGCTCAACATTTTTAATTTGTGTTGTATTAATTCCTTAATGAGGACTATGGGATATAGTCCATATGTCTGAGTTTCAATCTTTTTTGTTTCATTGAATGTTTCTTTATAAGTATTGTGATTAATTAAAAATTCATAAATAAGCTTATAGTTGAAACAACTAAAATCCACTACATAGTTGACCCAATTTTGCTTAAGCCTTCCTTGCACCCTATGGCTCACAGGCATATGACATTCGTAGAACCTTTGTATTTTAGTCATATATAACAGAGAAGAAAGAACAGAAAGAAACATAGAATTTTAAAATGATAGAAAATTGATTTTAAAAAAATTTATATCTATTTAATTAATGAAAGCTCTGCACCACTAAAACTAATTATATAATTTCAGTAACTTTTTTCATTTCGCTTTTAATTTTTTATACACAGCGAAACATTTTCAATCACTAGTAACTAGTAACGAAACTCATTAGTTAAGTCCATAAAATGACCACAAATTCAACCTTCGAAATATGTTCGTTTCGCGTAAGTAAACAAGACAGTTCCGTTTCCTGGGCCAAGAGAATCAAACACAAAATAGACCAATAATTAAACAAGCCAAGCTACACGCGATTTATTCATTAGTAAATGTAAGCAAAGAGAAACGAATAAATTTACTGGTAACAAAAATGCAAAAAAAAGAAGGAAAAATGTAAATGTCGAAATAATACAAAAAAAAAAAAATTATTTAAGAAAAAGGATAACGAATACATGAGAAATGAAATTTAGTAAAAACGTAACAGTCAAAATATATAAAAAAGGTTTAACGGAATTAAAAATATAATTTTTTTTTATTTTAATTATTTCTTTATCCCCCAAAATTAAAGCGAGACGTGTTACTAGTTACTAGTTACAAATACTAGTTGCAGTCGAGTACGGATATGGCAACAAGCAGCGAGTGCGGATGGACGGTTTTGTTCATTAAGTGGACTAGTGGTACTTACTTCACTCGAGTGCAATCGTGCAGGCAATTCTGTTTGTTCGCCAGATGAGTTAAATGTCCAATGAAATGAATCCGCAGGCGGTGATGCATCCACTTCACATTTTAATGCCAGCGTTTCGTGCTTGAGGGCGCCCAACAGCTCCTCATGATCGGTGGCACAAATGGGTGCATCTGTAAGAAAAAAGGATAAAGAAAAATAAATGTTAATGAATTATAAAAAATTAGAGTGGAAAAATGAAAGAAAATTATTTTGTTTTGTGAAAATTCACTGGCATAGAAACATAATTTCGTTTTGTTCCTGTTGCAATTTTTAATGAGTTTAATGCGCTTAACTGGCATTATTTTTGTGGTTTATTTACGGTTTGTTTGTAGTTTTTTGTCAGAACTTTTTAGGTACTAGATACTAGATACTGTAGAGTTAATGAATATTTTTTTCAAATTTTTTTATTTCGATTTTTTTGGGTTTTATCTCTTCACAATCTTTATGTCGGGTGCAGATGTACGTTTTACTTAAAATTTTTTACCTGCTGATTTAGTTGAAGTAATTAACTAGTCACTAAGTTTTTAATGAAGCTTTAAATCTTTGTTTGTAATGAAAAATTTAGAATACATAATGATAAGAAAACTGTGTAGAAAGAAGTACATAAAATATATAAAGAGTCATTGTATCTTTTTTGTCTTAATGATTTTTAAATAATTTTGAACAAAAATAATTATGGTTTGGTTCTTTAATTAATTTTAATAAAATTTCAGAATATTTAGAATATTTTTTCTTTTAGTGTAAACATTATGTTGTTTTTTTATGTTAGGTATTTAAATTAGATATATATATGGCACGACGCAAACAGTATTGCTTCCAGAATAATACTTCACAGTTTTCTTGGTCTATTAAGTGCCAAAGTGGATAAATAAAGTGGATGTTCTTACCACCTTTTCTATATACTCGTACATTTTATAAAAAAAATTTTGTTTTTATGCTAACAAATAGAGGAGTTTAAAACTATAGGTCTATAGGTCTGTAAGATATTATTTATATTAGTTATATTCTAACAATGAAAATACAGTGGGTAATCAGTAAAAAGGGTTTTATTTTCCATGATTATCGGTATAAAATTTTTTTTTTAATGTTTGGAAACATATTCCATATCATTTTTCGTTTTTGAAAGCTCATTTGTGATACTGTAATTTATAAAGAAAAAATTCATCAAACATTTTTAACTGATTGACTTCTGCTAGCTATATATTAAGGACATATTTACTTGAAATAACATTAATAATTTGTGCTGCACACTTTAATGTTTTTGATATATTCAAATATCTTTCTAATGAAATAAGTTGAGTTTATTTCTGATTATATCACATCGGAGCGAATTGTCAGTTTCTATTTACACACCATTTGATTTAGTCTCATATCCCTATTATAATACTAGGATACTCCATATTATTACACTTGCCTCAACTCGTTCGATACGCTACACCTATTTGTATTCTCTGTTATCCGCTTGCTGGGCTTCCAAAGAATTTGTAATTCATTAGAATGTTCAGTAATGAATCTTTACACCTTGACGGAAGTGCACAAAGCCAACAAAAAAAAATTAAATTTAAATTTAAAATCATCAAAATAATAAATCAAAGTTTCAACTATTTGATTATAACTTATGTATGTTATATTAA